AAAGTTATCTGGTACCACTGGACCAAATTCAGAGGTGGCCTCCAGAGGCATGTATGGGGTTTAGGATACATCTGTTGTGCAGATGAAATAAAAGCCACAGAGAATCTGATCTGGGGAATCCCATACTCTGAACACCACCAATAGGACCTTCAGTGGGGATGTCAAGTCAAGCGAAAATGGTCAAAATTGAAAGCTCTTCAGGGCAGAGACAATGCCTTCTTGTGTTTTAATACAGCCACTAGTGCAATAGGGCTGCAATCCTGATTGGCATCTTCAGGTTCTACTGCAATATAAGTGACACCCACAAACAGCAGCGGGGTAAATGGGACCACACAGTATGAATCAATATGGTCCAAAGCCAATGGAAAAGGGAAGCAGATGGGCTACATCTACCACTACATGGACATCCAGCGGTAGCTAGAAGCAAACTAGGTGCACTGGCTGTTTTGTGCCTGAAGCACATGGTGGTGGTTGTGGATCCCTCTCGCAGCCCTGCTGAGTTCTCTTGTTCCTCTTGAACACAGCAACATTATTGTGGCTCTGATCCCTTGTTTGGGATTGTGGAACGATAGTCTCCCCTTTAATTTTAGCCTTTTAAGGCTTAAAGCTGTATTCACTCCATAAATGTCTAGGCTCTCGCACCACAGATCATCACAGAGGTGGAGATCATCATCAAAGCAAGGTCCCAGATGATCTTTTGACTGTCTGTTTCACCAGTGAGCAGTTAAAAGTAGGTCAGAACTGCAAAAAGGTAGAATGAAGTAGAGAATTCATGTAGTCAAGTCTTTCTAACCCATTCCGCTTTCCACTCAGGTTGACTAATGGCGAGCAAAACCCAGCTCCAACACGATTTTGATTTTCCAAAATTATCCCAGCTCAGATTTGTCAGGTTGACTTTTGTGCTTTAATTCCTCTTAACTTGAGCAAAGGTCAGTGTGACACCCTCGTCAGATTTGTAGTTAAAATGGCCAAAACCAGAGGGAGGTTCAACAGATACAGGAATGCAAGGTGGCCAAATTATGGCATCAGAATCTCCTGGAAACCCCTTAGAATCCTTAAAAGGCACGATGTGTTGAGCATGACTAAAAAAAAACAAAAAAAAAAAACAAAAAAAAAAACAGCCTAATCCCACTTCCCTGTTCCTGATGTCCACAAAAGACACCCTGCAGCAAACATTACAGGTCAGAGCCCTTCTTTTCATGCTGCTTTGGCTCTTCTACAATTACTAGGTCTTTCAGCAACCTCAGGTTCCTCCATTTCTCTAGTTTCCTAAGAGACTTGATGCTAGCTCTCCACAAACTACTGGGTTCCTGATTACAATGACAAGCTGCTGTCTTGGCAGTGCTTAGTCCTAGCCAGATTACCTGGCAGAAAGACAAAGGCGATCTAGGGCACAAATCACCACAGTATTTAGGCTGAGGACTGATTTGCAAACTGCTTTATGTGCTGTTCCTTCATAAGGAGGAGCTGGGACAATCACCTTATTACAGAGGCTTATTTGTGGGAAGATTTTGCAGACCCTGATACAAACAAGGAGGTTGGAATCTAAGTCACACCCAAATCACAATGAGCATCTAGGAGGGGACTACATGTTCTGCTGGGCATCCTCCAAGAATAAAGAATACTACACCACGTAGTCAAGCATGTGTAGTTCATCTGCCTTCAATTTCTTGTAATAGGACATGTCTTTGCCAGGCTCGGAGCACAAGAGTTTGCTGCCCTCATGTGAATCTAACTATTTAGATTTTGGTTTAATAACATATTAGCAACACAGTAAATGTATCCATTCTCCTGTGGATAAAGACTACTTGCCTAGAACCAGAAAGAGAGAGAAAAATGTTCTGGTATAGGTCTCTTAAGTGCCACTACCCTCAACTCATTTTACAAAGATATTTTACCTGAAGGCTTCCAAAAGTTTATCTGCAAGGTCTAGGATAGATTAATAAATTAAACTGGAGGCTACCCATATAATTCTGAACAATCAAAGGTTATTGAGTCAACAAGGCCATTGAAACAAATGAATATATCAGATTGCATTTCAAGCCAAAGTTGGTGTCCCTTTAAAAGAAATCGATATTCACACCAGCAATTTCCAGTCCCTGAGAGCCCACAGGAGAAATGAAAAAGAATCAGATCTGACTCAAAACAAAGATGCTGATGTTATAAGATGTGTAATTGGGGAAGAACCAGCAGGAGGATCAACAGATTCTAATGGAGCAGGGAGTAGTAGTATAGAATGTGAAGAGAGAGACTAGGCTTTTGCTTATCATGATTATGGCATATCCTCAGACTTCAACATCCTCAAATCAGTGTTTGATAATCTGCTTGCCCAACACCAAAATGAATGGCTTTAGAACAAACAATTAAAACCATTATTTTGGCAATCTGAGGGCTTAATTCTCTATTTTTGCACACAATAATCAAGTCTGTAACTAGCAGAAAGCATTTGTCTAATGTTTGCCTTAAAAAAACAAAACAGATCACCTCCATGCCCAAAGTTCATGGGAAACATTAGAAGCAGGGATCAAAGTGAAGCAAGAGGACTGTAGCAGACAGAACAGCTTATACAAGATTTTCCAAGTGACATGGAAACGTAAGCAACCTCCCTATGGACAATTACCTAGAGTAAGTCAAATCCATTTGCTATTCATTCATAGCAGAGTTCAGCCAGACCATTTTTGTTTCCCATTGAAACACAACCCTAATTTTCAATACCCTTCCAACAGTTTAGAGGAAGACATGCCTCTAATAAAGCAGCAGTTACACCTCAACATTGTGATGCTCTTAAAATGTTGATCTGCGGTGATGCTCTTAAAATGTTGATCTGTGTGGAGGCAGGAATTCATATTTCCTTTTGAGGGTCATCTGCTGAAGTGGTATTGTCAATCAGCCTTTGACAACTCTCTGCTATGTCTGAGGATCAGTTTGGTCTCTCAGCATATCCAAGCTGAGTCACCAAAATATCATCTGTGTAGACCACCTACCATATATGAAGAAACACTGATGTGGCTACAATCTCCAGAGTGAGGGAGTGGGTGTTGGAAAAGCCTGCATTCTGATCTTTGCTGGGAGAGTGCCATGGAACCCATGGCATAGACCCACCCACTGAAGATTAGCTTCTGTGCAAGCCTAAATGTTAAAGTCCTGAAAAGGCTTTGTGATCAACAATTGTATGAGCTAAATAAACAGAGCTCCAAATTAAAAAGGGCCTTACTTAAATTCCCTAACTTTGTATGTACACCACATTGAAGATCCTCACAGAGCGTAAAATAGCAACATCATTCTTCTGTGTCTTTGGTCCATCCAATGCATTCTCTAAAAACCATCTAGTTCCTATACTGTCAGATGACTTTCCCTATTTGAATTGGAAACCTGCATTCATACTAGTTTTCAGATCCAGGAAAACTGGATGGGTAGCTCTCATCTCTTAAAGCAACAGATCAAAGATGCTACTGCTGTTGTAGAAATTTAGGTCTAATTTTCCCTACAATTTTTGTATGTCTCACACACAAAATTCTCTACCCATTTAAAGTAAGCGTATTGCAAATGCATTTTAACTGTTCCTGAACTACTTAAAACCCCCAAACAAAAAGGTCAGCAGGATTGTAGACCCCCAAGAAGGGGGATTATCTAAACTGAAATGGTGGCTTTATTAATCTCTTCTACATTAGGCAAGATTTGTTAATTTCCAGATGAATGTTCAGGGGCCCCTGCTATCTGCTGAAGTAGATCTATAAACGAGACAAGTTGACATTTTCTAAATGTCCCTTAACAATAGCGACTGATGTTTTTACATTCATTTTTTCAGTCTTCCAGTATAACCCCTTCTGCAGTTGCTATTTGAATCTTAGTATGTCACCTATCACTAAACTCATTTACTAGGACTCAAAATGAACAAGACCAGTATGGGCCATATTCTCTGCAGATGTTACACTAGTGGAGACTGGGACCCTCTATACCAGGTGGGGGCAAACTACGGCCCATGGGGCACATCCGGCCCGCAGGACTGTTCTGCCCGGCCCCTAAGCTCCTGGCCCGGGAGGCTAGCCCTGGCCCCTCCCCTGCTGTCCCCCGCCGCAGCCTCAGCTCACTGTGCTGCCGCAATGCTCTGGGCAGCGGGGCTGCAAGCCCCTGGGGCAGTGCAGCTGCAGAGTCTGGCCTGACCCAATGCTCTGTGCTGCGCGGCTGGCTCTAGCCGGGCGGCGTGGCTGCCTGTCCTGGTGCAGCCATGCCACCACCAGTGCTCCAGGCAGCGCAGTAAGGGGGCAGGGAGCGGGGGGGGGGGGTGTTGGATAGAGGGCAGAGGAGTTTGGGGGGTGGTCGGGGCCGGGGGTGTGGATGGAGGTGGTCAGAGGGCGGGGAACGGGCGGTTGAACGGGGGCGCGGGGTTCCAGGGGCGGTCAGGGAGGAGTGGTTGGATGGGGCAGGGGTCCTGGGGGGCATTCAGGAAGGAGAGGGGGGGTTGGATAGGGCGGTGGGGTGCAGTTAGGGGCGGGAGGTCTGGGGACAATCAGGGGATGGGGTGGTTGGATGGGGCAGGGGTCCTGGGGGGCAGTCAGGAGCGGGGGGTCCGGGGACAGACAGCAGGGGGGGGCAGGGGTCCCAGGGGGCGCAGTCAGGGGGCAAGAAGCGGGAGGGGTTGGATAAGGGGCAGGGGCCGGGCCACGCTTGGCTGTTTGGGGAGGCACAGCCTCCCCTAACTGGCCCTCCATACAATTTCTGAAACCCGATGTGGCCCTCAGGCCAAAAAGTTTGCCCGCCCCTGCTCTATACTAATCCAGGACTACCTTCTGCCTGCAGTTGCATACACTTCTACTGACTTCAAAAGAGAAATATGCTTTCAAAGGCAGGATTCAGCCTTAAGAATTAGTAACTCTGATAAGTGAGACAGAAAGAAATCCCCCAGACACCATCCAATGCTCCCCCCCCCGAACATAGGTGCTGGAAGTAAGGGTGCTGGGGGTGCTCCAGCACCCCCTGGCTTGAAGTGGTTTCTGTCAGATAGATGGTTTAGTTTGGTTTAATGGCTCTCAGCACCCCCACTATACAAAACAATTCCAGCACCCCTGTTCCTGAATGTCAATCTTAAAAATAATGAAGATAAACCCCACTTTCTCCTCTTTGAACATCTTCATGCAAATACATGTTAATTCATGTGCAATAATCATAATTAAACAAACTGTGTGTCCCAGCCCCAAAGGCCAAACAAGTTTTTGTTTTGGACATGAACATCACTAAAACTATTTATATAAACGCCACAGAGATCTATACAGGGCACTCTCTCTCAAGTACACAAACCTTTTTCACTTGTTAGAAAGGTTTTCTCCTGCAAGAGAGGATTTGTAGAAAGAACAACGCTCAGATAAGAGGATGAGGGAATTAAAAACCCAGCCTCCTATACACCAATAAATTAATTGCTCTATTGCAAGATTAAGATCAAAGGTTTAAAAAGGCAAATTACACTACTATTCGAGAATATCAAAATATTATCATCATCATCACAAATGGCATGTATGTAAAATGCAGCTGCACAGTAATGCCTAGGCCGTAGAAATAGTAACACTGAAGTCTGCTGACTAAAAGTGAATGATCTTTTCATTTTCTGTCTAATCTTTTGGCATCTTTGCCTATGATGCAGAATTAGATAAAAGCTACTAAAAATATCACGCTGCCTTGTATAGAATATTTAATAATTCTTTCAGATAAGACTGGTGCAACACTAGCTAATTTTAAATCTGCTATGAATAATGCAGTCAAACCTAGTTAGTATGCAAGAAACTTATTTCTAACACTGAATGAGAGGTTATGATGCAACAGCATGAACAAATCCCTGGTTGTCCAGTTTTTAGTATAAAGGTAGTGCATAGATCCAAGTTTCTATTTCAGTTCGCTGAACTGAGCATTTGCCTGCATTTCACTTCTGCTGGGCAGCCTGGAAGGCTTTCAGTTCCACCTGGTACCATTCTGGTGCTTCTGGCCCATTCTGCCCGATGGGATTATGATCATATCCATAAGCCACTGTTAGTTCTTCATCCTTCTCCACAGCCCTGATGGTGCGTATACACTTGATTGGCCCAAAACGAGGATGAACAAACCTAAACAATGAGGAGTATGCATTGTAAATTTTAGCCCTTTAGTAAACTATATTTTTTTTTACTAAACCTTCAAATGTAAATTCACGATCCCCTGCCACACAGACTCTTTTTTAAAACCCCTCTAATTAATATTTAAGCCATCAAATCAGACTTGTGTCTCAAAGAGTTGTTTGGCACTTAGCAATATTTATGAAACTTTGATTTACATGAATCTTAAGAATTTGTTCAAGGAGTTATTGCTTTGAACTTCAAGACTTACTCTGGTGTAAGATTTAAAAAAGGCTTCAAATACTGTGTCATGTTACATCAAAAAAACAACTCTGAAACTATGACTTGGGTATTCTCAATATTTCCTGTAAGATGTTTATGGTATCAAAAAAGTAGTCACTGATTTGTGCAGGACTTACAACTACCTTCATAATAGGACAACAATGAATATTATTTGCAACAGGGGAAGTCAATCATCCATGTTTATCTAGTACAGTTTATTTACTAAATGTTTTACAAGAGCACACTTCTGCTCATCTTCCCCAGGGACTTGCTGTAAGCAAGGCAGTTTTTTATCTGCAAGTGTCCGACCCAGCTGTAGGTAACAAAAGAGTACTATAACTTTGGGAAAAAAAAAAAAGTTTTTTCATTTTTTGTGGATTTTGTTAAACTTCAGTTTGACAGCACTTTGTATAGAAGATTTCACTGTTTCCCACGAACAGTTGACATTACCCCAAACTATTTTAACTCTGTCAATTTTTTTTTAAAAGTGCCCCCCCCTTTAATATAATGCAGAAGTTTGAAAAGAACCAAAGGTCTTGGGCTCAAAATCAGGCAAAAGAGAGCCAAGCAAGCAGCACTATTGCTTATTCATTGTTCAAGTGAAAACAAATATTGATTGGATGTGCAGAATTCACTCAAGAGAAATGAAAGAGTACAATCATGAGTTTTTTAATTTGCCCTTCCTATATGTACTCCTTTTTGTCTAGGTAGGTTGAGTCGATGAATTCAAAATATTACTAAATTAACACAGTCTAAGGGTGATCATCTAGTCCAGGGGTTCTCAACAAATTTTTTGGTGGCTTCAGACTGCGGCCACCAACTCTTTGGTGGCCGCTGTTATAATTTTAACTAAAATTCCTAATTAAGTTTAAGAAAGACAAATAAATATGCACATATACATGTCCAAATGATTGCAATTTATTTATGTTGGGATTTTTTGCAGACTAATAAAAATAATGTACACTTGTCTCTATTCTTTACTAGACCTAAACAGAACAGAAACACAAATAAGGTGCTTTGCACTGTGTCTTTTTTGTTGTTGTTTATTTTGCTTTTTTGGTTGCTTTTTTAAAGACTTGCTAGCTAGTAAGTCTGCTGCTGTGAAAAGTGATATTAACAAACATACAAATATCACTTTTCACAGCAGCAGATTTACTCAGCCCTGGCATGCCCAGGAACAAATCAAGCCCTGTATAGGGAAGTGGGTAGGGAGGCAGTGGGGGCTAGAGGCAATGGGGAGAATGGATGGGGGGCTGAGGGAGGCAGTGGGGGTCAGAGGGGAATGGATGGGGGTGAGCCCAGAGCCGGAGCCTCCTGCCCACCATCCCAGGGAAGGTGAGGAACTCACTAGAAACCTGCTCCTCCAGCATGTGTCTCTCGGGGGCGGGGAGGGGAAGGACCCAACCCCTGCTGGTGGCCTCAGGGGAGGAGTCACTGCTTTGCCCCCCGCCCCCATCACTGCCCAGGAGGCTGTGGCCACAAGAAAAGCTCCTGGCGGCCACATTTGAGAAATGCTGATCTAGTCTGACCTCCTGTTCAACAGAGGCCATAGAACCTCCCCAAAATAATTCCTATTTGAGCTAGAATGTATCTTATAGAAAAAAATCCAATATTTATTTAAAGATTGCCAGTGATGGAGAAACCCCCCACTTAAGTTGTTCCACTGGTTAATTACCCCCATTGTTAACATTTTGTGCCTTATTTCCAGTCTGAACTTGCCTAGCTTCAACTTCCAGCCATCGGCTCATTTATACCTTTGTCTGCTAGGCTAATGAGCCCTCTTATCAAATTTCTGTTCCCCAGACTGTGATCAAGTCACCTCTTAACCTTCTCTTTGTTAAGCTAAATCAACTGAGCTCCTTGAGTCTAATCACTATCTGGCATCTTTTCTAATCCTTTGATCATTCTCAGTGCTCTTCTCTGAATCCTCGCCAATTTAACAACATAATTACATATATTTTCAGCCAAACGCACAAAGGTCTTACACTCAACATTTCTCTATTTGTCTTTAATGATTTTTGCACACCACTTCTGATTGCTGCACATGATACATGTTCCAAAACGTCAGAGAATCTTCTAGGAATAAATGGCCAGAACCCTATTGATGTTGAGGAAAAAATGGGAGATACATGAAGCCCCTGCTAGCTCTTCAGCACAGTAAAGCCTCAAGTGCCTCTGCAATGGTCTATAGATTAAAAAAAAAAAAAAAAAAAAAAAAAAAAAAACACACCACTTTTGATGGCACCCATTAACACCTGCTAGCACAGGTGAGGGCAAGCCATTTTAAGCCGGCCCTTGAGCTCCTGCTGGGGAGCGGGGTCTGGGGCTGCTCCACATGGCTCCCCGAAGCTGCAGAATGGCCCGCCTCCAGCTCCGATGTGCTCCAATGGGCACTGCAGGGGCGGTGCCTGCAGACGAGGCAGTATGCAGAGCTGCCTGGCCACACCTCTGCGTAGGAGCTGGAGAAGGGACATGCCACTGCTTCTGGGAGCCACTTGAGGTAAATGCCACCCGGAGCCTGCACCCCTGAGCCTCTCCCGACACCCCAACCTCCTCCTCCAGCCCTGATCCCCCTCCCGCCCTCTGAACCCCTCGATCCCAGCCTGGAGTACCCTCCTACACCCTGAACTCCTCATCCCCAGTCCCACCCCAGAGCCCTCACTCCTCCCCGCACCCCACTCCTCTGCCCACCCTGGATCCCCCTCCCTCGCCCCCAAACACAGCCCTCACCGTCTCCCACACCCCAACCCCAATTTTGTGAGCATTCATGGCCCACCATTCAATTTCTATTCCCAGATGTGGCCCTCAGGCCAAAAAGTTTGCCCACCCCGTGCTAGCATAACAATACTCCTATTTTATCTCTGCCTATTCTCGCAATAGCATTTAAAATGTTGGAACCCTGAATAACTTATCTCAGATAGAAAGGGGGGGGGGGGAGAGAAGAGAGTGGAGGAATGTGGGGGAAGAATGGGGGACCTTGTTGTGGGTGGAGGGGAGAGTATGGGTCACCCAGAACCCCTGCCATGTGGGAGGAAGGAGGACCCTGGAATGGATGGCACAAAACCTCTGGTGAGGGAGACTAGGGACCCTGACATGGGAGAAAAAGGGAATGGGGGCCATAGAGAGTCACTGGTACTGTATTTGGAGGAGGAAGTTGCGAGGAATCCCTGGAAACAGAGGGGGAATGGGAGGGTGACACACAGGGAGCTTGTGGGGGGGAAGTGGAAGGATACAAGGAGCCCTGGTATGTGAAATAAGTTTGGTCTGTACAAGCTACAAAACATATGCCCCCCCCCCCCACCATATTGTTTTAAAATATGTACCTCCTTACACATGTTTGTAGATGTCAAACAGGTTTTCAGCTGCTGGAGAGTACTAGAAAAATTCTTATTTTTGAGGCTTCATGTTCCAAAATGATGCACTGTAAAGCATACAGTGTCAAATGCTAGGAGTGAGGCAGACATGGCCCTATCCTTGGACAGCTAAGATTTACGTTTCAGCCAAGGATGCTGTATTTTGTGTATTTGAGCATCAATGGTCAGACACAAACGCATAACAAACATGCAATATCATTCTAAGCCTGAACCTGCCCTCAAAGTTTAGAGCTGTTGAGCACCTGCAATGCCCACTTGGTGTAAGTCTCAGCTCCAGTACACAGAGACTGCATGTGAACCTGAAGGAAGACTCTTGGATCCAGAGAGTACATCCGGCCATCTCAAAACATTGTACAAGCACAGTGCACTTCAGTGCAGCAGTCTCACCTCTGCAACGTTTGGTCTGAAAGACAGGCTAATACTTACGGGTCATAGATGCAATTAGGAGTGAAGGAGTGGTTGGCCTTATGCCCCAGCGAGGCACAATACTTGGCAGCATGGTTGTAAGGCTCCGGCACATCTATGACTGTTTCATCATCCAGGGCTATTGTGTTTTCATTGAGGGCCCAGTCTCTGCTGTCCACCTGATTTGCAAGGTAAAAACCGAGCATGTCTGGTCACCTTTTATTTGTTTTCAAAAGTTCCAGTGAGCACACTCAGATCAACTCACAGGGAAAAAAAAAAAAAAAAAAACTCTTACAAGAAAACAGTTTTAAAAAAAAAAGCAATGAAAATTCAGACTGGTTCCCTTCCGCCCCCAGCCTTACCTCCGGGTGTGTAATTCGCACTCCATTGTAAAAGGACATAACCGTGCGCGATCCTGCTGCTATTTTAGAAAATAATCCTTCGCCAGCACTGGAAATGAGAGATGCATCAACATATACCCTAGAAAATAAAAAGAAAGGGTAGCAATTGGATATTTTCTCATTATCACATTTGCAATTCTCTACACAGTATTACTACAGCTACTGGTGCAGAGGTTAGTAGTTCATGCCCTTTAGAAAATGCAAAGGCAAAAGAACCCAAAACCTAATAACATTTTATTAGTAGAGAAACAAAAGGACTTTTCTTAGGACATAATCCTTAGGAAAAAGAAATTACTTACAATTACATTTTATTGTTCAGATGATGACCATTTTCCAATCTCCCCCTAATGATGGTTAAACATGCAGGGACCTCCAATCCTCACTCCATGACTAGTCCCATTGAAATTCAATGGGACTTCTCATGTGTAAAAGGACTACTCACTTGAGAAAGCATTCTCAGGATCAGGCCCTAGAACTCCACGTTTCTAAACAACAGTCACTAAGAACCTTTTGCTACATCACACATTTAGACATTTGTAATGCCAGAAGAGGAGGATTACCATCAGGTATACGGCAAAACCTTGTCAAATGAATGGGATTAAGGCAGTGAAGACACAAACAGTTCTACATGCTGTACATTGAGAAATATAAAAAGGTGATGTTAGTGACTGACTGGAATCCAGCATTCTGTAGAGAAACATGGCATGTCAACAGTCGAGGTTTGAAATGGACATACTCTTTCCCCAGGGCTTTCTAGTTTATTACATAATAAACCCAATCCTGCTCACTTTATTCTGCTCAACAAGACTACTCAGATGAGCAGAATTTGACCCAACCTGAATCACTATGCTTGACATACGCATCAATTTGAGATTGATTCTGTGTTCTGAAAAAGGGAACAGTGTATTTGTGCCAGATCCTATAAGATGCTGAGCACCCTCAACTCCCCTTGAACTGTATCTTGTAGGTAGGGCCCTTAATGAAGAGTTCTGGACTTCACGGAACGTGACTTTGCAGCTATATTTTTTTAAAGTCACTTTCAAGATGTTACCCAGAAGTATATTATGTCCATGTTCTGTCTACTAGATTGCCAGTTTTTCCATGTAAATCCAAAAGAAACTTCAATTCAATTAAGTCTATGCTCCACATCAGTCAAGTTAAAGGCCCAACCTGGCAAACCCATAGACACCTGACTAGTCCTGCAATTGTTCCTGTGAGTAAGGGTTTGCAGGATCAGGTCCCTAAATGCACAGCAGACCAAGAAGTTTACTGAAAGATTTTAAAGGGGAAAAAGAAAAGTTCTACCTCTCTGACTCGTAAGGATCAGGAAGAAGTGCATTTGTAGAAATGCAAGATGAAGTAGATTTATCAAAACTGTATACTGGGCCTAAAAATAAATCAATACAGGAATTAAATTAATGGACAATATTAAAAGCATTTCTCTCTTTTGTTAGAGGGACACGCATTCAAGACATTCAAAAGCAAATTAAGTCTGAAAGATAATGAGATGAACAAAAGAAGAAACATACTTAAAAAGGATATTATATAGAGCTGCACTGAAAACAAAATACCTGAATCCTCAGCCAGTTACTCCTTCTTGATTTTTCTCTTCCCAGGCAACTGAAAATAGCATATTTTATATACAAGAGCTTAAAAAAAAAAAAAAGAAGAGCATCTCTCTTTGATTATTAAAATTAGGGCCCAGTTTTTTCAAAAATGACTAATGATTTGTGTGCTCAACTTGGACACCTTACATGGGCCTGACTTTGAGGAAGTGCTGAGCATCCACCCTCTGACAATTAAGCCCTTTTAAAGTCTAAATCCTTGCACACTTGTATAATCAACTGTCTGATGCTTATTTTGGGGCAAAATTAAGATGCAGGTGGAAAAGTCAGGGAAAAGCTGAGTATTTGAAAGTTTGATAAAAAGCTGTTGTCCATGGTAACCAAGTTCTAAAAATGGATCTCTTCTTTCAGCTTTTCCACACAGAGTGTAGTTGTATCCTATTTACAAAGCACAAATTGTACCCTCTCAGCTGGAGTTTCTTCTTTTTAATTGTGCTATGCAAAGATTTATCTACAATGTTTAAAAATAAAAGGTCACTGCCGTCCTCTGGCCTGTTTTTCCTTAACGTTTAGGTTCCTATTTCCAGACTGTTTAAGTACATAAATCTTTGGGGCACAAAAGTAACAGTGCTAGGATAGTTCATATTTCTACTAATGATCCTGTCTTGTCCACAATTGGAAAAGTGTCTACAGCAATTAAAGAAACACCCCAAAACACTAAGGGGTCAATTCACCATAGCCCTATACCCTATGTAATCGTTTACCGCAGTACTGAATTGGTGTAAGATACTATCACTCTTACGTTTAGCATTTTATGTCCACAAACTGGTGTAAATGACTACACAAGTTGCAGGGCAATATTGAATCAGATTCTTTCTTATCAAATCAAACTCATTAATCCTGATGTCTATGTCCCACGTTCTCTATTAATGCAATATCTAATGGCACCCAACAGAGCTAGTACTGATTTGTACAAACAAACCCAATAGATAGCAATACAGTTAGGATTGAATCATGACCCTTCCTTGCTTTGTGTTTGTTTGCTCATTTCAACAATATGTCTGTCAACACGAATGGGAAAAAAAGTGAATTTAAAGGAGTGAATAGGATGGGGAAGATTCCACAGAGTGTTCCTCAGCCTTCCCCTCCCACTATAACCTCCCACAGCATTTCTGCATTTTTCAGAACACACACCCACCCCTACCTAACTTATAAAAGTCCTCATGAATGTTCTGTAATAGAAACAATCTGGTGTTCTCCCTAATAATCAATTCCTCCTCACCAGTCAGACCTTACACACCCTCAAGGGGAATATTCAGAGTATGGGAACTGAGGTGAAGAAAGAGGCTGAGACACACAGACCAAAGATGATATATTTTTTGTCAGTGTACAAGCTGCACATCAACTGAACTTACTGCCTGGTACCAATTCAAAGTGTGGCTTTCCCTCCTCTACAGATGTAAGAGTTGCCAGTTTTGCTTCTATCATTTCTCCATCTATGAACCTTCCATAATATGCAGTCTTCTCATCAGGATACACATAGGCTATTTTTTCCCCCGTCATCTCCCCTTCTTCATTCACTTCTCCTACAAGGCTGCCTCCATCCTGAAAGAGTGTCCAAAAGAAAAAAGTTTTTAATTATAATATGTAATAAAGAGCTGGCTATAAAAGTAAAGTGTTGGAGAAGTTCCTTGACGTAATTTACTGATAGGGTTAAAACTAGTTAGTAAGGAATCTATATAGCCTTGATTAAAATAAGACACTTTTATTTCAAACCAAGTGTGTCCACACACAGAGGCACACTGAAACAACAAAAGGTGTGAATTAAAACTCATTTAATTATTTCAGTGCCAGGAGTAATTCCAATCAATAGAATTACACCAGAAAAAAACAAAACAAAAAAACCCGTGTAAGATCTAAATTAGGCCTTCTGTCCAGTAGGTAAGTAGAAACCACAAGGACTCCCCTTCCACTTGAAACAAACATTGAGATTTCAAACAAGTAGGGGTAGCAGAGCTAGGCAGTGGCCCAGGGCACTAAAAACCTAATGCCTCCCGCCTTGTCACATTTTGCAAAAATGGTTCAGTGCGGGAGGAACGGGGGGGGGGGGGGGGGGGGGGGAGAGGAGGAGGAAGTGCTGCTTTGTATTCAGTACAGCTGCTTTATATATTGTTATGTGATGGTACATCAGAGGACTGGAGCTTATAAAGCATTATGGATGTATATTGGAGGTGTGGGAAGTAATTAGGAGTGGAGCTGGAAGGAATGAACAGAGTAAGAACTACAATGGAGATAGTGACAGAAGAAACTAGAGGAAAGGCAATGAATTTGGGGAGAGAGAAAAGGGGACAATGGGGAAAAAGAAAAACATCAAGAAAACTGGAGAGGTAGGGAGAGAGTGGAATACCAAAACCCCAGAGAGTATGCCTTGTCAGTTGCAGACTTTGAATCACCATTTCCAGCATTCAGGTGGAAAGAAGTGTCAGGAGCAATAAATAAGATCAACTCACCTGAACAAAAGGAAAGAAAAACTGAAAAAAACAAGAGACTAAAGAGTTACGTGTAATTATTTCATTTACTACCAATGCTTCCAAACTGCACTTATTTTTCAAAGTTTTCAAGGGAAAAGACCTCCTAGCCACCGCACCTCCTCCATCTCCTGTTGACAGCTCCCAGCAATGTAAGCCCCTTCCCTTTTCAACTCTTCTTTTTTCCGCCCCAACCCCGTCATTTCAGTGTGAGATACTGCTGCTGTGCCAGTGTCAGTCCAGAGCTGCCTACAAGAGTTTACCTACTGAATACCATGGAGCTTAAACGGGTTATAACTCCCAACTGATGGGTATATTTTGCTCCTTCCATCCCCAAAATTACAGCTCATTGATTTTGGGGGAGGCTTCTCCTAGGCTTGGCTTAATCCCTGCTGGCAGCAGGAATGCCATATAGACACACACACTGGATTATGTACCATACCATACTGCCCAACTACAATGGTGAGAGAGCTTCTAAGGCCTAGTCTTCGAGACAAAACTTACTAACTATCTTTAAACATGGCTTAACAATGTTACACGTTTTCTGTCCATACAGGTACGAATAAACCATATTACAGCATGTTTTGACAACAGCTATGTTTAAACAGTTATTTTTGGAGCAAAAATGGCATCTTAAAGATCACTTTTCATCCTATATTCCATCCTGACAATGCTAGCCAGGCTGTTAGAAATGAACTTTCCAGAACTTACAGCAGAGTTCTATCATTAGGAAGTTGAAGGAAAAGTATGTGACCGTCACAGCCACGTGTATTTAATTTTTTGTTTTCACTTGCACTCTGTTCTTTATCACTGATAATTGCTATTGGTATTTCCCTGGCAGCCTCAATTGTAGTTTTAGCTACTACTGTCCAGTCTGTGAATTAGGTAAGCTAGGTTTTTAATTCCTCTAAGAAATACCCAATGGTCACAGCGTTTGAGGGGATCTAAATAACTAAATATGCATACAGATGTAACACAGAAGGAGACTGCCCTTTGCCTAGAGAGAATTCAACCTATTGGGTAGATAATTGTGTACAGAAGTCTTCCACTCCAACACTGCCTTTCATTTTTCACCCCCGAAGTTTTTAGGGCCTTTGGTGGCATTCTACAGACAAATGTGCCATACATGGAAACTTCAGGCCCTACTCAGTACTTACTTAGGCAAAATTTCTACTGACTTGAGTGGCCTCAGCAGGGAGTGCTGAATAGGGCTATTCATGAGTTTAAAAAAAAAAAAAAATAGATTAGATAGAGAGATAGATAGATAGAGAAGGAACACTACTGTACTGTCTATAATTTAGCACATTTTAAAATATTCCCTAGAAGACAAAGATTCCCAAAGAAAAGTCCCAGCATTTACTTAAGAGACAGAAACAGGAAACCCTGGCTCTTTTCTGGAACTAGGTACTTTTTACCCCTAAAGGAGCTGTCATAGGGAATAAACCTTATTCTCTAAGCCAGGTTCATGGAGCCAGGTCTAGCAAAATGTCTTGCAGCAGCTAGAAATAATCTTCCTCCCTAGGCCACATAGCAGTAACATACAGCCATAGCCTATATGGCTCCTGTGCCCTTCTTTTATTCTCCAACAAAGAAAGCAGGAGATCAAGCTTACCGGGTAATATATCCAACACATGCCATGTCGAATATTATCTTTGTACTGCCCTTTGAATATTAGTCGTCCATCAATGTCATATTCCTGGGCAGGTCCATTAAGTTCTCCATCCACATGCGTGCCATGAAGAACCCCTCCATCCTCGTATGTGTAGAGTCCCTGGCCTTGGAGAGCATCATCGACATAATACCCTTCCAGTGTGCTGGTAAGAAAGAGAAAGACAATTGGTGCAGATGTCCCCCCTCTTTTAAACAGAGCTCTTGAGAACTGAACAATATACTCAGTACAACCCTCACCCTCTGCTTAAAATCTGGGCAGCATATTGTATATCATTTTAAAACCCCAAATAAAAAACATTGGAAAAAAAAAAAAAAAAAGCTCATCTCCACTGAATTCTCTAGCTAAATAACACTTATGTTGTACTTTCATTGTACAAGCAGTTTAAAGATGTTAATCATTCCGTTGTATTGATTCCGCATGCTTGAGCCACACTGCTACATTTTATAGATGGGGACACTGAGGAAGAGAGGTGGAGTGATTTATCCAAGGCCAAAGAGGGAATTATTGTTAGAGCAGATTGCTTTTGGATTAGGATTCTCTCCCTTCTAACCCTATGCTCAGACCTTCAGATCCCATCTTTTCAGTGTCATGCAACTCTAAGGCTATGTCTACACTACCCCCTGGATCGATGCTCTGGGAATTGATGCATCAATCAAAGGGTTGATTTAGCTGGTCTAGTGAAGACCCACTAAATTGACTGCAGATTGCTCTCCAGTCGACCCCGTACTCTACCCCAAATGAGAAGAGTAAGGTACGTCCACGGGAGAGGTGTCTCCCATCGACCCAACGTAGTGTGGACCCTGCGGTAAGTCGACCTAAGCTACGTCAACTCCAGCTACGTTATTCACGTAGCTGGAGTTGCGTAGCTTAGGTCGACATACCGCAGCAGTGTAGACATAGTGTAGACCAAGACTTGCGCTACCAACTTACGTCAGTAAAATTACGGGGCTCAGGGTGTGGATACTCCACGCACCTGAGCAACGTAGTTATACCGACCTAACCCCCAGTGTAGACAGCGCTATGTCGACGGGAGAGCTTCTCCCATCAACATAGTTACTGCCTCTCGGGGAGGTGGAGTACCTATACCGATAGGAGAAGCTCTCCTGTCAGCATAGGCTAGCAGCTGCACTGCTGCAGCACTGTAAGTGTAGACAAGCCTAACATACTACCAGTCTGGTGTTAGGTCATGTCAACAGCATATTTAATAGCTCCCTGCACCAGATTTTCCAGAATCACTGTCATTTTGTTTTTAAATTAGGGCTGTCAACTGATTAAAAAAATTAATTGAGATTACTCACATTGTTAAACAATAATAGAATACTATTTATTAAAATATATTTTTGGATGTTTTCTACATTTCAAATATATTGATTTCAATTAGAATACAAAGTGTACAGTGCTCACTTTATATTTATTTTTTATTACAAATATTTGAACTGTAAAAAACAATAGTATTTTTTAATTCACCTAATACAAGTACTGTAGTGCAATCTCTATCATGAAAGTTGAATTTACATATGTAGAATTAAGTACAAAAAATAATTTCATTCAAAACCAAAAAAATATAAAACTTTAGAGCCTACAAGTCCACTCAGTCCTATTTCTCGTTCAACAAATCGCTCAAACAAGTTTGTTTACATTTGCAGGAGATAATGCTGCCCACTTCTTGTTTACAATGTCACACGAAAAGTGAGAACAGGTGTTCACGTGGCACTGTTGTAGCCGGCGTTGCAAGATAGTTTACATGCTAGATGCGCTAAAGATTTGTATGTCCATTCATGCTTCAACCACCATTCCAAAGGACATGCATCCATGCTGATGATGGGTTCTGCTCGATAATAATCCAAAGCAGTGCGGACCGAAGCATGTTCATTTTCATTATCTAAGTCAAATGCCAACAACAGAAGGTTGTTCTATAGTTTCCGCATCAGAGTGCGCAACAGAGGTTCTATAGTTTCCGTATTAGAGTGTTGCTCTTTTAAGACTTCTGAAAGCATGCTCCACACCTCATCCCTTTCAGATTTTGGAAGGCACTTCTGATTCTTAAATCTTGGGTTGAGTGCTGTAGCTATCTTTAGAAATCTCACATTGGTATCTTTGCATTTTGTCAAATCTACAGCAAAAGCGTTCTTAAAATGAACAATATGTGCTGGGTCATCATCTGAGACTGCTATAACATAAAATAGATGGCAGAATTCAGATAAAACAGAGCAGGAGACATACAATTCTCCCCCTAGGAGTTCAGTCACAAATTTAATTAACACATTTTTTTTTAACAAACATCATCAGCATGGAAGCATGTCCTCTGGAATGGTGGCCGAAGCATGAAGGGGTATACGAACGTTTAGCATATCTGGCACATAAGTGCCTTGCAATGCTGGCTACAAAAGTCTCATGCAAATGCCTTTCTCACTTTCTGGTGACATTGTAAATAAGAAGTGGGCAGCAGCATCTCCATAAATGTAAAGAAACTTCTTTGTCTTAGTGATTGGTTGAACGAGAGTAGGACTGAGTGGACTTGAAGGTGCTAAAGTTTTGCATTGTTTTGTTTTTGAGTGGAGTTATGTAACAAACACACACAAACACACAACATTTGTAAGTTGTACTTTCACAATAAAGAGACTGCATTGGAGGTGAATTGAAAAATACTGTTTCTTTTGTTTATCATTTTTACAGTGCAAATATTTGTAATAAAAATTAATAATATAAAGTGAGCAGTGTACACTTTCTCTTATGTGTTGGAATTGAAATCAATATATTTGAAAATGTAGAAAAACATCCAAAATACTTAATAAATGTCAATTGGTATTCTATTGTTTAACAATGCGATTGAAACCACGATTAATCACAATTAATTTTTTTAATCGTGATTAATTTTTTTTGAGTTAATCACATGAGTTAACAGATTAATTGACAGCCCTATTTTTTATATATATATTATATATACAGCTATTATAAAGGAATGTATGTTGTCAAGCAAAACTCATACAGCATTTCGCTAGCGAGTCACTGATTTCACATCACTTTTCTCTTGCAATACCTTTAAAAGTGTAGCAATAATACTCGGGGCTAGAATATGCTGTAATTTGTTTCCCTTTTTAGAAAACAATGCTGAGAGAAACTAACACTTAGGGATTTAAAAAAATTCCTTATAATGTCCCTTTCCTTGCAAGCTAAAATTTTTAAAGAGTGTCTACTTTGCCTCAATATATTTAATTAACACATTAACTGTTAAATTATGTAGACAATATCATTAGACATTAAGTAGTTATCTTAAAATGCAATGACATCTATGGTAAAAGCACAACTGTCCATCTGGGAATATAAGACTCCATGTGTTTCAGAAGACTTCAAATATTTGCTTTATTGTTGTTGGACATGGGCTTCATCAAAGTAACTCTTGAGTTTCTAAAGTTTCCCTTCTTTACTTCTACAGTGTTTTGTCCCCCTGCAAGAAAGATACTTTTGCTGATACAATGCAAAAGCAGGGTGCCCATAACTCAGTATTTCAGATTGCACTAGGACTTCAGCTTTATCCGCAACAGGAAATGAACCTGTTCATTCCAAATGTCAGTTGAGGGAAGGCTAAGGAAAAGCCGTTGTGGACAACCATGGTTTGGCTACTAAAATAAGCTATTTTTCAATAAGGACAGGACATTCAATACAAGCACAGGGGACCAGCTGTTGTCAACCACAGGCCATTTTCCTAGTGTATAAGGTGTTAGTTTCCCCTGCTTGTTTCTAGCACCAGTAAAAATCAGCTTCAGAAATCTTCCTGGTACTGAACATGCAAAGAATGCCTGAATTTTAAGAATGTAAGCTCCTCAGGGGAGGAGTCACCTTCACATTGTGTCAAGCACGTTTTCAGCAGTTCTTATTATAATAAATTAAAATGTTAAAGCCCCAGGTCACTGACATTACAACAGCTCTATAAATCTTAGAAAGATTTGGGGGAGGTTGTTTGTCTCCCCCGCCCCTCATTTTCTCCAACTCAAGTCTCTGGGATTTCTCTTTACAACTTAAAAATGCCAACCTCCCTCCCTTCCTTTCTAGGCTCAGTGATGCCTCAAGCTTTTCCACTTCTAGTAATTCCCATACAAATAGGCTTCAAACTTCCCCTTTTGTAACACTGCTCTCAGAACTTGGTAGAGAAGTGCCAGTTTAGAAAATGTTTCTAGTTCCATGGAGAAGAGCAGTTGTTCGAGGACACCCAACGCTTTTCCGCTCAGAGTGATTATGCCATAGATTTCTCAAAATGCTCTCAGACAAAGGTTAGCGTGAAAGTAAAAGTACCCAATACAGAATGTGGAGCACGCTGGAGTTGAAATTTCATTCTTTGCAAAATAACATGGTCAATTTTCTACAAAATGAAAATTTGATCCAATCTCTCTCACTTCTTTAAATAATCAACAGAGAGAGGACAGCAATGCTGACAATGAGAGGAAAGGTTTACTTCTGCTAAAAAAAACAACACCCTTTGTAATGTTGCATATGGGCCCTATCCAGGGTTTGGTACAACCACCTACTCCTGAACAGTATAGCTACAGTGCAGTTGTCAGCCTTCACTGGCAGGACTGCAATAGAAACTGGCCATGGAGGAAACGTGTCTGAGCTAAGCCAAAAACCATTAACTTGTGCTAAAGCACACAAGAGTATTAGGGGTGGGGAGTTTTGGGAGCCATGACAGGAAGAGAGAGCTCTGATGAATACAGGGAGCAGGAAAATGACAGTTTTGATGAAGCCAGGGGAGCAGAAAATCTGGTGTAATTCCTTGTTTAAGAAAAAAATCCTTAAAGAAACAAATCAAAATGATCAAAAAATCAAAACAACAAAAATTCCTGTCCCTCCCCACCCCTCCACGTATTTAAACCATGAACTTTTGGGTGCAGCATCCTTTTTCGTTAGCTTTCCCAAAGCTATGCAGCAAACTGCAATATCATCAGTTAGGCTGTCCAAAAGTAACTGGCAGCATTTGAGTCAACTCTACTTTATTTAAGCTCAAACCTGTATGGGCCCTATCCACAGTACAGAAAACTGTTTAAAAAATATACTCAGACTATTTTGTTTAATTTTGGTTTGGTAGTTACTGAACATGTACAATAACGGTTTTGTTTTTCAAAGCATTTGATGCTCATGAAAGGTGCTGGGTTGACAGCTCTGAAGAATTACAGAAGAGACAGGGCATAAACACAGGGAAGCTCAGGCTGCCAATGCAACCCTGCCTGCACCCTGCCATTTGGAGGGACCACTTCTCAGAGTAAAAAACAGTTGCTCAATTTCCATATCTAGACAATCTTTGGCCTCTCTGCTGAGACTTCCAACAAGTATTATGTTTACACTGAAGCTTCCGCTGAGAAATCAAACCTCATTTTACATATGCCAGCTGTTAGTAATATTTTTCAGTCACTCCCAACAGGTCTTGAAATGGCCAATTGCTAGCAACAAATAAGGTTTCTCTAGTGAGCATGCCGGCCCATGAAATCCATTTCTGCAGAACTTATTCTTTAGAAAAATCATTTAGAAAAATAAGGTTACAGGCCCTTATGGCTGGGAAAATAAACTTCCCAGTCTCAACTGCATGCAAAACAATGCCATGCTGCATTCCTGAGTTAGCTGACAGGCAGCTCCAATACCTCTGGCTGCTGCTCAGAACTTTGCCAAGCATAAGCAGAATGGAATTGACAAGAATTTGGGGGTCAGTTTCACCACCACTATTCATAGCACCACACAGCTGCAAAAATCAAGAATGATGTCATTTTGTATATCAGCTGCTCCTTCTGAGGAAATTGCTGAGCATCAGCAAAGAGAGGTACTAGTCGGATTTGTGAGGAAAGGGGCAGGAGGAAAGAAATGGCTAGGAACAGTAAAGTAATGGAAACCTTCCACTTTTTACAGATGAGGAAACTAGCCTGATTTTCACAGCATAACTCCCACTGAAGACAGCGGCAATTGTAAGTGCATTTCTGAAAAGAGAGTCAGGTCAAACGATTTTTACAAGATCAAAGAGCTGGGAATGGAAGCCGTATTTAATTCAGTCCAGTGTTTTAACCACTAGACCATACAGTGTCCACTAAACAAGTTTCAGGACTAATTAGATTGTAAGCTCTTCTGTGCAGAGCCCAGGTCTTTCTATATCTTTGTATGGGCCCAGCAATATGGGGCCACAATCCCAAATGGAGCCTCTGGGCACTACCATAATACAAAGAAGCCAGCTGAACCAGCCTGGAAAATAGTTGTCAGCAAGTTTTTAAACCACCATGTATGGAGTTAAAATCATAAGACTTTCTTGAAGTCTTGAATAAATTTAAAGCTTTAATATTAAAACAGGGCCATAGTGACTTGACTTTCATATTAAGGAGCAGTCCCTGGGGTCACTCCATTATTTTCAGAGTTCACAAACAGATGGAGACACTGGCTGTTACTCTAGCCAGCACACAATGAAGAAACTATCCAACTAAAGCTCTCATGGGAAAGCAGCTGGCGGAACTAGGAGCACATATACCCTCCCCCCCCCCACACACACACACAATTAGTTACATACTGGTGTAAACAGGAGAAAAACAAATGGAAGACGAGCAAAGAGCCAGTTCTGAAGAAGTGAGGTTCTTACCCACGAAAGCTTATGCTCCCAATACTTCTGTTAGTCTCAAAGGTGCCACAGGACCCTCTGTTGCTTTTTACAGATTCAGACTAACACGGCTACCCCTCTGATACTTGACACCATGCAAAGAGCCAGTGTTTACCTTCCATCAAAAAAGAAGAACTTGCCACGGCCGTTCTTTTCTCCATGCACGAAGTTTCCTTCAAATCTGTCTGTGGACGAATAGGTGACTGTACAGAACCCATGTGGCAACCCATCATCATCCAGAAGCCCTGAAGCAAAAACAAAAACAAACAAACAAAATAGCAAAGATATTAGAACAGGTGTGCAATCACATATAATCTCCCTTCTATATGTTGTTGCTCCCCAAAACATTTATTTTAACAGAACTACTAGTTAAAATTTTATTTAAAAAAAAAAATGGACCAGAGCTATTCAGGACTATTTGTAGCCAGTTTCTTCATGGCAACAACATATTACAAAAATCTTTGGGGGGGGGGGGGAAGAAGCCAAGATAGAGTACTTGATGGAATAAGACGACACACTTCTCAACTAAGTACTGCCCACACTGTATTGTGTTCAAGTAACTTAACAAAAAGAGCCACTACCTAGAAATATTTCTCCTGCATGACACTGGAATGGATTCAAGACCTAATTCATACAACTGTGTATTTTTTTTTTTTAAAAACATGTACATCTTGAAGAATATGCTTAATACGTACTAGCCCAAAGACAAATCCTACTAGCCAGGGTAGCCAGCCACATTTCTCTCAGCTTGGATAATTAAAGTGCACAGAGTCAGCGTTAGCTTGTAAGCTCTGCAGCAGTGACTGTCTTTTTGTTGTGTGTTTGTACAGTACCTAGCACAACGGGGTCCTAGTCCATGAGTAGGCTCCTAGGCACTGTGGCAATATAAATAAGAATACTACTTTCAGGATGTTAGTGCTGCAGTATTTGGGTTTCAAAAATTGCAGAGGAATGTTTATTCAAAAACAATTGTTTCCACTAGCATTTAAAAACATAAGGTCAGATTCATTCAGCTGCAGGTACCATGGAGAGGCAGTTTTCACCTCCTAGTCAGGGGCTGCAGGGACTGATGTGGAATCTGATGTAGGCTATTACTCACTTTTGTGCTGCCCTAAGTCATGGCCCCTATGGGGTTTGGCATGGACAGAGAATATCCAGGCTCCAATTCTTTTGGGGCCATACCCCACCCCCACCTCCTTGTGACTGCCTGCACCCCATTTCCACACCATCCTCAGCACAACCTGGAATGCCACAAGCCAGGATCTGCTGGGGAAGTAGTGCAGATGTGGCTCTGTGCCTGGCATAGGAGCCTTCTGCAGCAGGAATACTCACAAGTGGTGCATATGCAGTGTTGCCAACTCTCATGATTTTGTCATGAGTCTCATGATAATTATTGTTTTCTTAAAGCGCCAGGTCCTGGAGTCAAGGGGATATGTGATGATTTCAGCCTTCGTTCTTAAAAAAAAACGTAAGTTTCTAGCAGGGCCGCCCACAGGGGGGGGCAAGTGGGACAATTTGCCCCAGGCCCCGCATGGGCCCCCACGAGAGTTTTTTGGGGCCCCTGGAACGGGGTCCTTCACTAGCTCCGGGGGCCCCAGAAAACTCTCATGGGACCCGGCCCCCAGAGCTTCTGCCACTCCAGGTCTTCGGCGGCGGGGGGTCCTTCGGCTCCGGGACCCGCTGCCAAAGTGCCCTGAAGACCCGCGGCGGGGGGTCCTTCTGCCTCGGGACCCGCCGCCGAAGCGCTGGGTCTTCGGCGGCCAAAGACCCCAGGCCCCCTGAATCCTATGGATGGCCCTGGTTTCTAGTCCTTGTGGCTCTGGAGAAAGTTTCAAAATGTGACTCAGTGTACCCTAAAAGCTCAAAAAAGCAGAAGGCATATAAAAAGACCACATCTATTATTTTTACATAATCTCATGATTTTTGCTGAACATGACTCATGATTTTTGAACATTTGGGGATGGCAATACTGACTATGCCAGTCCTATGGACCTTTCACCCCAGACTAGCTCACACAAAGGGGCCATAAGGTAACAAATAATCACGCCCATTGGGAAAAACACATCTATTGGTCTCAGGATTTAGGAAAGAATTTAAAAAATATTTTATTTAAACAAAAAAAAATAAAATTACCTTTTAAGTCAAACCCAAATGGATAGTGTTCCTTGGTACTCTAACATTGGTTTATTTCAGTATTTAACAAACTCCACAATTGCTACAGGGAGAGTGACACAGAGGACTGTCTGTGCCAATTGACAAAAGGCTCACTGTTCTTTCCAAGCAACTCCTGCCGCCGATCTGACAAACTCACTACACCTAATTCAATGTTCGATAGTATTTATCCATAAAAGGTAGCATGTGAGATCTGTACTGAAAGCTTGTAACTTACCAATATTCAATCATTGCAAGATGCATGTACAAGTAATATTTAAAGGAGTGATGTAGCTACATTGAAAATAATGCCCTTATGGAGTGAAAGTGAGTCACTAGGGAATCATATGGCTAGGTACTGGCCCATTCAAGTGGGAGGGAGTTGTCAGACCTCCCTGGCTAGCCAATTATGTAATGTATTGCTCAACTGTCCACCTCTGCACTAAGCCAGGACAGTCCATGGAAAACCAAAGACAAACAACAAAACCACTTTGAAGTAAAAAGGAATGGTAGGCCAGTGAGGGGATTGCCTTGTCTGTGAATAAAGACATGAGATTGATTCAGTATACCACAGGATGGAGAAAGACATTCCACCTCCATTGACTGAGGAGGCACCTTGATGAAAGACTGGGTCCTAGCTCCTTGGGGCTAGCAATGCTTCAAAAGACTGACTTGTGGGGCAAGAATCTACTTTACTAGATAGGAAAGGTTATATTAATAAGTTTAGGCCCTAGTTCACATTTTATTGTATGTAACAATTTGTTTCCACCACTCACACTTATTTTTACATAAATCTCTCTTCTTTCTTAAATAAGTTTCCTTTTTGTTTTACTATAATTGAATTCAAGTGTCTGTGTGATACAGCAGTGGGTTAAGGTCAGACTGTAAACTGGGGTACACTGCTCCTTTGGGAATGAAGGATCTGGTATTTCTGTAAGTATCCAGTGATCAGGGGCTGGATACCACAGGAGGACACTGAAGGGATTCAGGGGCTGAGGTGTAAATAATGTCAAGCTGCAGGGAAAAGGCAGGGCTGGCATAGGCCAGAGGAGAGCTCTTGAGCTGCTGATAGGCTGGCTGTGTTAGCTCTGTAACACCTAGCTGGCACAGGCAAAACTCCATCGTGCTGGAGGCAGGTGGCAACAAGCTGACTCACAGATCTGGGTTCTCCAAGAAGCGCCAGAGAGAGAGTATGGAGTCTAAGTTGGAAAGGAGATGCCCAGGAGAGAATTGCTGTGGGTAGAAGTCCAATTAAGTATGAGCAAGTTTGAAAAAAGCTGAAGTTGACTAAATAGCAGGTTATGTCATCTTCAAGCTGACAGTAGTGAGAAAAGGGGAGTGTGTGAACGGTGAAAAATAAGTTACATTATAAAAATATTTTGATTTTTAATAATCTAAGGTATTACTAGTAAGTAGGAGGGAATGTTTTTAAAACAGGCAAGCATGCTTCTCTCCAAACAAGTGGAAGAAAGGCAAGCTCCTGGCCCATTGGGTGTGGGGGTGAGTATATGGGGGGGGGGGGGGGGATGAATAAGGGTTTGTCTACATGGGAAATTGTTTACTAGTTACACCAGTATAGTTAAAGTGCTATAGTTACACCAGTATAACAGTGTGGACACCCTGATTCCAGAATAAGAGTGGCTTTTTCCTGTTTACAAACTAAACCGGGGGAAAAAACAAAAAAACAAAAAACCACACCTCTTATACCAGAGTAAAAGTGGTCACAAGATGAGCTATATTAGTGTAACTATATGGGTTTAAATTCACAACTTAGTTTACGTTGATTTAACTTTCCCATATAGACAAACTGTAAGAAAGTACAACTAATTCCTGACAGAAGAGCAAGATTGTTACAAAGTACTGAGGAGAAAATATTTACACTTTTCAGGTTAAGCCAAACTGTGCACACTGTACTGCAACAAAATATTTGTTCAGTTTGGTGAAGATGCTACTGGAGTGCAAAAACAAATAAAACTGTCAATGTATGTTTATACAGATTATAAATGCCAGAATTTTTGTGCAGTAGGAGGCATATTCTCCCAATGATTTTAATAGAGACCTGCAGTCTAGTGGCCTCTGTACAAAGTGAGAGCCATGAACTTGAGTTCTAACTTCAGACATGCCATAGAGGGTCCAATTCTTCTCTAACATTACTTTTACATCAGAAGATGCGAGAGGGGAAAAAAAATTAAATCCAGCCTGCCTTAACCCAAGGCAAATCAATTTTAAGCTTAGTTACACTGGTGCAACTTTTCTAATATACACCAGGCCTTATGATTCAGTCCAATTCCTACTGAAGTCAACCACAAAAGTCTCACTGATTACAGTGGGACCAAAATGGAACACTATTTCTCCTCCTCCTCAATTGCCCCTACCCATTTGTAAAAGTGAGAGAGAGTTTTTGCTTCCTTCCCTTATTTGGACATTATCAAGATTCTTGTATCTTCTCTAGATAGTAAACCCTTCAGAGCAGTGAAGCATGTAGCACAATAGACCTCCAGTCTTAATTGAGGCCTTTGTACAAGGCTACAATACAAATAATAATAATAGGGTCAATAAGAGACTAAAACATATGAAGGCCAGCCTGGTGGTCTAGTAGTAGTGGTCTGTATGGTCAGGCAGCAGCAGACCTGGGTATGATCTCATTCCTAGTTCTAGGCCTCAGGTAAGGGCAAAAAGGAAGTCCCTAATGTCACTCAAAAGCAATCCCTCTGCCAACCAATAGTTACCTTCAAAACTCACCTGAGCACACAGAGAAATAAGCCATTTTATGAAACCATAATGTGCAGCTATGATATCAGGAACAGTATCATGATGCCTAGCGCAACTAAAAATAGCCTCCTTACAAATATTTTTTGGCAAGGATATAATACCAAGTCCGTACACAGGTACACGTATAAGCAGAGACGGTCTACACATCACATCCAAAGTATCCATCACTTTAAGAAACCCCTCTATTCCCCCTTGCAATTTAAAGTTCCTATATAATCTATGAGTTTTGCATAGCCCCCATTGCTAAAATATCCAATCACTTATATCTATGTAATAAGACCAGATTCTAGTAGCAGCTGTACAGCAAACACTATTACACATCTACTGCCATGCTGGCAAGACAAACTCAGTAACCTTTTCAATAAGTGACAATGCACACCAGGTCCTTTCTGCCTGCCACAAGATACAAGTAACCTGCCACTGACTGATGCGAGTTAGTTGTATCCTGCCACACACAAATTCCAACACTGTGCTCTTAACCATGATATCTGAGTAGTAAAAGCTGTGACCAGGAATGGGCTCTTTGTTTTCAGCTGGCAAATTTTACTTAAGAGCTTCACAAGGCAAATCCTGACTATATTCCTAAATGCCTAAAAGGGGATGCATGTTGCTGACAGAGATGCCATTTGTGCTAATATAGGAAATTCTGGAATAGCTTTGACATCACAACCTTCTCCTTTTTAAGGTCTGTATCTCAGTCTCAAAACCCTTCTCTGGTCTTAAAATGTGCCCACCAGGTGGTTAGCTTTAGGGAGGCACTGGGGTCCAAGGATAGGGCACTGGACTAGGAGTCAGGAGACCTGGAGTCTATTCCAGCTGTGCTACTGATCTGCTGTGTGACCCTGGGCTTTTCACTGTCTGCCCCAGTTCCACCTTCCACCCTTTGTCTCACTTGTCTCTTTTCACAGTAAGCTCTTCAGGGTAGGGACCATCTCTCCCTATGTATAGTTGTTATTTAGAGACTAGCGCAATGGGGCCCACTGTCATCCGGGCCCTGTGGATGCTCCTGTAATACAAAGAGTATCTCTATTATTTAGTTTAATATATATTAGTTAGTTCTCTCCTGCATCTTCAAGGCAAAATATTGTCAATTTTTATATTGCAGAGAGTGTGTGTATGTGTGTGTGGTGGGGAGGAGAAGGATAGTAATATATTACATTTACATAGTGCCTTTCATGCTGAAGGACCTCAAATAACTTACGAATCACTAGAAATATGGCACACTACTGCTAAAACACAGTCGCCTCTGAAGCAGAAGCAGGCAACTAACTGGTGCACACCATACGACTCAAAAATGGGGAAGATGAGAGTGGAAATGTTGGCTGTGATGGTCTTTAATATGCACATGGAGCTGTTGTTTTATACACTCTCCTCCAAAAACGTGGGCCTGATTCTCTGTTGTCTTGCACTTTGTCTTGTCATTTACACCAATGCAAAATGTGTGCAAATCAGGGTAAGACACTACCCAGAATGCAAGTAACCACACTAGGCACAAGGCTGCAGAGAAGCAAATCCAATTACTTTAAATTAAACACAAACTAGATGCCACATACACTTATTTCTTGTTTCAGGTCAAATGGTGTCAAAACAGAATAACTCCACTGAAGTCCATGCAGATTGACTGGATGTAAACTGTTGTAATACAACAGAGGGTCCTGTGGCACCTTTAAGACTAACAGAAGTTAGTCTTACTTTACTTCTGTTAGTCTTAAAGGTGCCACAGGACCCTCTGTTGCTTTTTACAGATTCAGACTAACACGGCTACCCCTCTGTTGTAATACAGTACCAGACAGAATCTGGTCCTTAATTTGCCATGTAAACTAGGTCCATTCTGGAAAGTCTCCAAGATCTTAACATTTTATAATTATATTTAAATTGAAATGTGTGTACTACCATTGTGATAGTCCATACTATAGAACACAAGGTACTAGAGGCCCAGTCCTTCAAACACTTAAACACGGAAGTAACTGTACTCACTTAGCCCCACTGAGTAGTTACTCGGGTGCTTAACTATTTGAAGGATCAGACCCTAAAGATTTAAAGGGCAGTATTTATTTATGAACAGCAGCGATATATTTAGCTGAATAATAAGTGGCTCCTCTACCCCCCCCCTCAAATAAAAGTATAAATAGGCTAGCAACAAACTAGGCACTAGCCGTTCTTCTCCATGGCTCTGCTAAGTTTTCCAAGGCATCAGATACCAGCTGAAGCCTTCTACCCCACTAGAGCTCTTGCCTCGCTATAAAAAGCTGCTTCGAGCACTTGTTTTAAAAAGTGGTGAAAACAAAAAGCAGCTCCTTACAAAGGAAACACCGCTCCGCAGCTCTTCACGCATGCGGGGGTCCGATGCGGCTCGGCTTGCTGAAGCCGGTAGTGAGACGCGGAGCTGGGCGAGCGCACCGGGCCGGAGGACGGGGCCGCGGGACCCGGGCGGGGAGGAGGCGCGTAGCCCAGGCGTGCCACGTGCTGGCCCCCGCACGCCAAGGCCAGGCTGCAGGAAGGGGGGGGGGCGCTCGCACTGCGCAGACCGGCTCTGCACCCTCCCCCCCCAAACTTCCCCCAGCCCCCACCCCAGGGGATCTGTAAGGCCCAGGGGGCTGCAGCAGGTTCCGGGCCCCGGCTACTACGTGCGCCGCTCGCAGGCTGGGGCGGGCAGAGCCGTGCCTGGGGCGGCCGCTCGGCAGCGCGGGGCTGACAGCGAGTCGCGGTGACCCGGTCTGCCCCCGCCGGACGGGGCTCGGTTACCTTCCACGGTCTCCTCCAGCGTGTCCTCATCGCTGTCCATGGCCGGGGCCGCTGGGTGCCCTGGCGGGGTGTCCGCGCTCTCCCCGCGGCGGGCGGCTCGCCCTGTCTTCCCCTAGAGCCCGCGGAGCAACCGGCTCCGCGCACCCCGGCCGCGGCGTCTGTGCGGGCGCCCGGCTCGGTCCGCTTTGTTATAGAGCAGCTGATCCGCTGACATCACCCAGGCAGGGCCGGGGCCGCTGCCTGACTGACAGCTCCCTGCAGCGCCCGGCCCGCCAGGCAGGCACACCCGCGCCGCGCGCACAGCCCGGCCCACCCGCGACCCCCGCAGCCCGGAGACAGGGCGAAACCCACCCGCACAATGCACGGAGGCAGGCCCCCACCCCCGTCCCCCAGCCAGCGGGGCAGCCAGCAGAATCAGCAACCCCTTATGTTCCACAATGGTAAGTCAAGGCCTCAAATATCAGCAGATTGATTAAAAATCATGAGATTAAAAAAAATCCATTTTAGATTTTTTTTTGTCTTCCAACATTTGAAGCTTTAGGAGACATGGGGCTCACATTTGTGAGTTTCATCAGCAGCCTTATTGTCCAAGGATGGAAACTTACAGAAAAAATGAAAGCTGAGATTCTCATGAATTAACACGATTCCTGTACTCTGGGGCTTAAGAAAAACACCAAATATCACAAATCATGAAAACTGGCAAGATACTGAGTCAGGCACAAACACAGAGAAAATGGCAGATACCCAGTGGTGGACTGGCATGCACACATGGGCAAACTCCCCAAAAGAACACACAAGGCAAGGCTGATTGTCCCAAAGAAAAGGTGTGAATCTGCATTGGGTTCTTTTTGAGGGATGTCCCCAAGTTACTATGAATCCTACATGACAGCAAAGGAATAAAGCAGAACCTGTCTTGCTTTGTAGCCTTTGACCTGCTAGAAAACCTTAACCTGGTAATGCTAAAGAAGAGTTTTCTAGCTCAGGGCTTCTCCAAATTTTTCATTCAATAGATCGCTTCCTAAAGAAATCCTCTTATGGATGCAGGTTTCAGAGTACTAGCTGTGTTAGTCTGTATCAGCAAAAACAACGAGGAGTCCTTGTGACTAGAACCCACTTCATCAGATGCATAGAAGGGAAAATACAGTAGCAGGTATAAATACACAGCACATGAAAAGATGAGAGTTGCCATACCAAGTGAGAGGTCAATCTAACAAGACAATTCAATTAACAGTAGGATACCAAAGGAGGAAACATCACTTTGGTAAGGGTGGTGAGAGTGGCCCATTTCAAACAGTTGACAAGAAGGTGTGAGTAACAGTAGGGGGAAATTAGGTTTTGTAATGACCCATCCACTCTCAGTCTGTATTCAGGCCTAATTTGATGGTGTCCAGTTTGCAAATTAATTCCAGTTCTGCAGTTTCACATTGGAGTCTGTTTTTGAAGTTTTTTTGTTTAAGAATTGCCACTTTTAGGTCTGAAAGCCACTAGCAGTCACCTACAGCCCCCAACTAAAACTTTTCCAGCGCATCATCAAGGATCTACAACCTATCCTGAAAGACGATCCCTCACTCTCACAGACCTTGGGAGACAGACCAGTCCTCACTTACAGACAGCCCCACAACCTGAAGCAAATACTCACCAGCAACTACACACCACACAACAAAAACACCAACCCAGGAACCAAACTCTGCAACAAACCCTGGTGCCAACTCTGTTCGCATATCTATTTAAGGGACACCATCATAGGACCTAACCACATCAGCCACACCATCAGAGGCTCGTTCACCTGCACATCTACCAATGTGATATGTGCCATCATGTGCCAGCAATGCCCCTCTGCCATGTACATTAGCCAAACCGGACAGTCTCTACGCAAAAGAATAAATGGACCCAAATCTGACATCAGGAATTATAACATTCAAAAACCAGTAGGAGAACACTTCAATCTCCCTGGTCACTCAATAACAGACCTAAAAGTGGCAATTCTTAAACAAAAAAACTTGAAAAACAGACTCCAACATGAAACTGCAGAACTGGAATTAATTTGCAAACTGGACACCATCAAATTAGGCCTGAATACAGACTGAGAGTGGATGGGTCATTACAAAACCTAATTTCCCCCATACTAATTTCCCCCTACTGTTACTCACACCTTCTTGTCAACTGTTTGAAATGGGCCACTCTCATTACCACTCCAAAAGTGATTTTTCCTCCCTTGGTATCCTACTGTTAATTGAATTGTCTCATTAGACTGACCTCCCACTTGGTATGGCAACTCCCATCTTTTCATGTGCTGTGTATTTATACCTGCTATAGTATTTTCCACTCCGTGCATCTGATGAAGTGGGTTCTAGCCCACGAAAGCTTATGCCCAAATAAATTTGTTAGTCTCTAAGGTGTCACAAGGACTCCTCATTTTCTCTTATGGATGCATCTCCCTACCCAGCACCTATCCCCCACTCCTTGGTTCTTAGAATCTTGTGTTCTGCAGGCCATCAGGAAGATCTCTGGTGGCCCACAGACGAGTTTGGTTTGGTCTTTTTCACTGGTTCTCTGTTAGGGGAACAGACAAAACAGCTATGGATGATATTCTGGACAGAACTGTAACTACTACAATATTTTAATACTATTTCTCTTACATTTACTTAGTCTCTAATCATTGTTAGAGGTGTTAAATTTAACAGCATGGCAATATAGAGAACACTGTGTTTAAGGGTCAATGTATTGTTTTAGGAAGGGATGTGGAGGCTTCTCGCAGAAAGTTAGTATTGCCTATGCAATAACTCCTCTTCCACAGCAAGAAAAAAAACCCTCAAAGCATGGAACAATGCCAGTCTTATTTGTAAATTCTTGTCATCAGTATCTAGGAGTTGCTTTCTTCTGGACACAGAGTACAAGCTCTTTCCTAGACTTTCAAACATTTAGTAAATAATACAAACTTCAAAACACCACAGTGAAGTAGTTATTATTACCATTTTGTAGACGGCAGCACTGAAGCAAACAGTTAAGGTCAACATTTAAACGTGGGTGCATAAAGGTAGGCATTTATATCCATATATGGTAATTACATAAAGGAGGCCTAATTTTCAGGGTACCCTGAGTTCCTACTCACTGACTTCAATGTGTGTTCAGCACCACAGAAATTCAGGGCACTTTTAATTAGATATCTAACGTTAGTCAACTAATTTTGAAAACTTGGTCTATACCTCCTGCCACCCAGCCTTGTGTTTTGACCAGCCTTTACCTAGCCTGTGTTATGTCAGCTTATGCTACAGGTCACTTTTTGAATATGTACTCATGGTTTGGCTGTTTTCCTACTTTAATCAAGATTAGAAGCCCCCCCCCCCCCGCAAAAAAAAGGGGTGGGGATTTCCTTCAAATCGTTGCATCTGAGTGGTGGAGTATGCCTCCTCTCCAGGTCCTCAGTATCTCCAGGGATTCCCTGCATAGAGGCCCTATGCCTCCACACCAGGTCTGGAACTGACTGCTGCTTTCCCTGATTCCATGTTAGCAGAGTTCCAAGACTTCTTTAGCAGGGGCTTTCCCAACAGAGAGGGAACATTAGGCTTAGCCTGTATTAACTCCTGAGTGGACATCCTATGGTTCTGAGCATTAACAATGCACATCTTTCCTCCCTGGCCCCTCCCCACACAAAAATCCCTGAACCCCCTGAGTGCCCAAGTCTACTTGAGCTGTTTAATGGTGGAGCCAGAAATGGAACTCAGCAATTCCTACCTTGCAGAGCTCAATCCTCTGTTTGCTTTGAGGCAGTGAAAGAGGAGAGCAGATAGTACATTGTGTCACAAATACGATGGTGATAGATGCTATAGAAAAACCTGAATGCCTTAGAGATTGTTCCTGCCAAGACCTTGAATTCATCTCTAGTAAAACATATTCTTTCCTATGGTCTCATGTCATGTATTATTTTATTTGCCTGGCTGTAGCAAAGCTTTTGATCTTGGGGTTCAAAACACAGAGAAACACTACAAATTATTTTATGGAATAAAGTGTGAGGAATGTGTACCTCTAGAGAAGTTGTATTTGATCTGTTAGCCTATCATCTTTCAAGACTCTCAAAAAAGATAACATATTAGAGTTATAAATGTATGGAGAGATTACACCACCAAAAATATTATCTGGTATTTTAAAAACAAGTTTACCCATCCAGCTGCTTAAGTTACAAGCTTTATGGCAGTCATGCTTATGACACATGGTTTATGGAAAACTGCTACTTTGCCAGTTAGAGCTATTACTTCATTTCCCGGCTGGAGGTATGTTCCTATTATGACAAGTTCTCATAAAAAATAAACTGAATAATAGGGAAACAAGGAAACATTTAAACTTTTTTTTCAGTTCTCTAAATGTAGTGCAGCACTTCCACTATAATTAGTATGTGATTATATATAGAGAGAGTGAGAGAATATGTGGTGATGTGGTATAAAAGTTTTATTGACTTAATTTTAGGAGGACTAAACTGCCAACTTGCTCCTATGTATGAGATGACCTCCTAGGATTGGTCCACCAAAACACTGATCGCTCTTCACTCAAATCCCTCTTTCAAGAAAAAAAATATTTTAGGTATCTCCTTACATCATAAAAGAAGCAAGAAAGGGCACAAATCCATTTTTCTCCTTTGCAGGTCACCTTTAAGGTGTTCCCTCTCTCTGCAAAATTCCCATTCCCTCCTAACCAGTGACAGAGATGTCAAGCTTGGATCACTGAGTGATAGTACTGCAGGTAAAGTATCAGTCCAGTCCAGTGTACAATTTGTTAGAGAGGAATCCCAGCAAAAAAAACCCCCTCTTTCAGACTCCATCTGGGACATTAGAAACCTCTGTGGCCAGCCCTGTGCACAAGGATGTAGGGGGATAGGGATGTGCTGTAAGCTTTGGCCAGTGTCAGAGCCAGCAAAAGAAGAAAGCCAAGATTCAAAAGTGGTCTTTTAAAAAATGTCCTTGCTGCTCTTTGCACGGCTGAGAATGAGGATTAATTTCAGTCACCCAGTGAAAGGGAATCATCACCCATTGCCACCAGCTTACAGGAAGATTTCCCAAGAGGTACTTCTATGGATTTGTCATTTCTCTATTGGAAGGCATTTGTGCTCAATAGAATGCTTTGCTTTCAAAAGCC